CCCCATAGACCCCCATAGCCCCCATAGACCCCCAAAACCCCCATAGCCCCCCAACCCCCATAACCGCCCCATAGACCCCCATAGCCCCCCCATAACCCCCCATAGACCCCCCCATAACCCCCCATAGACCCCCATAGCCCCCCCATACCCCCCCCATAGACCCCCCATAGCCCCCCATAGACCCCATATCCCCCCCATAGACCCCATAGACCCCCATAGCACCCCATACACCCCCCATAGACCCCCATAGACCCCCATAGCCCCCCGGCGCCCCCCCCCCGCGGTCCCGTTCCCTGCATCCTCACGCCGGGCGAGAAGCTGACGATCTCCCCCCGGGGCCCCTTTGAAGGCCCGAAGAGGCCGCGCACCCGCCTGTTGATGCGGGAATGAGCTGCTGTTGGGGGACCCTGCGGGGCAGGCAGCAGCTCACAACGTCCCCAGCAGCCAGCGCCCGCCGCTCCGGGGCATCCACGGGCAGGGGGAACCCTCCTGGGGGGGCACGGGAAAGGGGGAAAAAGGGTGGGTGTGGGGTGGGGTGGGGATGGGGTGGGGATGGGGTGGGGTGGGGATGGGGATGGGGATGGGATGGGATGGGGTTGAGATGGGGATGGCATGGGGAGGGGATGGGGATGGGGATGGGGAGATGGGGATGGGGATGGAGGATGGGGTATGGGATAGGGGGGATGGGGATGGGGACAGGGCAGCCATGGGGCAGGGATGGGGTAGGGATGGGGGATGGGGATGGGGTGGGGATGGGGTGGGGGATGGGGATGGGGATGGGCAGCCATGGGGCAGGGATGGGGAGGATGGGGATGGGGATGGGGATGGGGATGGGGTGGGGATGGGGATGGGGATGGGGATGTGGACCAGGATGGGGATGGGATGGGGATGGGGATGGGGAGGGGATGGGGATGGGGATGGGGATGGGGATGTGGATGGGGATGGGGATGGGGATGGGGATGGGGAGGGATGGGGATGGGGATGGGGAATGGGGATGGGGATGGGGATGGGGATGGGGATGGGGTGGGGATGGGGTGGGGTGGGGATGGGGCAGCAATGGGGTAGGGATGGGGATGGGGATGGGGGACAGGGCAGCCATGGGGCAGCAATGGGGTGGGGATGGGATGGGGTGGGGATGGGGTGGGGATGGGGTGGGGATGGGGTGGGGATGGGGTGGGGATGGGGACAGGGCAGCAATGGGGTAGGGATGGGGTAGGGATGGGGATGAGGATGGGGACAGGGCAGCCATGGGGCAGCAAGGGGGTGGGGATGGGGATGGGGTGGGGATAGGGTGGGGATGGGGATGGGGACAGGGCAGCCATGGGGCAGGGATGGGGTAGGGATGGGGATGGGGATGGGGTGGGGATGGGGATGGGGCAGCCATGGGGTAGGGATGGGGTAGGGATGGGGATGGGGATGGGATGGGATGGGGCAGGGATGGGGCAGGGATGGGGATGGGGATGAGGATGAGGATGGGGATGGGGATGGGGACAGGGCAGCCATGGGGCAGCAATGGGGTAGAGATGGGGATGGGGATGGGCATGGGATGGGGAAGCACTGGGGAAGGGAATGGGTAGGGAATGGGGTGGGGATGGGGATGGGGATGGGGTGGGGATAGGGTGGGGATGGGGATGGGGACAGGGCAGCAATGGGGCAGCAACGGGGTGGGGATGGGGATGGGGATGGGGTGGGGATGGGGATGGGGATGGGGAAAGGGCAGAAATGGGGCAGCAATGGGGTAGAGATGGGGATGGGGATGGGGTGGGGATGGGGATGGGGACAGGGCAGCAATGGGGTAGGGATGGGGTAGGGATGGGGATGAGGATGGGGACAGGGCAGCAATGGGGCAGCAATGGGGTAGAGATGGGGATGGGGTGGGGATAGGATGGGGATGGGGATGCAATGGGGTAGCAATGGGGGGCATGCGGAACGGGGTGGGGATGGGGATGGGGTGGGGGAGGGGATGGGGATGGGGATGGGGACAGGGCAGCCATGGGGCAGCAATGGGGTGGGGATGGGGATGGGGTGGGGATGGGGATGGGGTGGGGATGGGGATGGGGCAGCAATGGGGCAGGGATGGGGATGGGGATGAGGATGGGGATGGGGCAGCCATGGGGCAGCAACGGGGCATGGATGGGGATGGGATGGGGCAGCAGTGGGGCAGGGATGGGGATGAGGAAGGGGATGGGGACAGGGCAGCCATGGGGCAGCAATGGGGTAGGGATGGGGCAGGGATGGGGATGAGGATGGGGATGCTGATGGGGATGCTCATAGGGATGCTGATGTGGATGGGATGGGGATGAGGATGCTGATGGGGATGAGGATGCTGATGAGGATGAGGATGCTGATGGGGATGCTGATGGGGATGGGATGAGGATGAGGATGGGGATGAGGATGCTGATGAGGATGAGGATGCTGATGGGGATGCTGATGGGGATGGGATGAGGATGAGGATGAGGATGAGGATGCTGATGAGGATGAGGATGAGGATGAGGATGCTGCTGAGGATGAGGATCCTCATAGGGATGCTGATGAGGATGAGGATGAGGATGCTGATGGGGATGGGGATGGGGATGAGGATGAGGATGAGGATGAGGATGCTGATGTGGATGGGATGAGGATGCTGATGTGGATGGGATGAGGATGCTCATAGGGATGCAGATGAGGATGAGGATGAGGATGAGGATGCTGGTGTGGATGGGGATGGGGATGGGATGAGGATGAGGATGCTGATGTGGATGCTCATAGGGATGCAGATGAGGATGCTGATGGGGATGCTGATGTGGATGGGATGAGGATGAGGATGTGGATGGGGATGAGGATGCTCATAGGGATGCAGATGAGGATGAGGATGAGGATGCTGACGTGGATACAGGCTCAAGCCCCGCTACCTGTCCACAGGTAGAGGCCGTCGTAGGCGAAGGAGCTGAGGTCGTCACCGGCTGCGTGGGTGCTGCCGGGCCCGGGGCTGTGGGTGCCCAGCGCGGCCCAGCCCACCCTGAGCACCGTGGGGCCCGCGCCCCGGAAGGGCTCCAGCGCCTCCACGGCCAGCTCGAAGTACCAGCGGTGGTACTGGGTGCTGCCGGGGTGGGTGCCCACAAACAGGTTGGGCCGGATGCTGCCGGAGACAGGGACCTATAGGGACCTATAGGCACCTATGGGCTCCTATAGGGATCTATGGGCACCTATGGGGACCTATGGGCTCCTATAGGGATCTATGGGGACCTATGGGTACCTATGGGGACCTATGGGTACCCCCAGACACACTGGAAGTACCAGCGGTGGTACTGGGTGCTGCCGGGGTGGGTGCCCACAAACAGGTTGGGCCGGATGCTGCCGGAGACAGGGACCTATAGCGACCCATAGCGACCTATGGGCTCCTATGGGCTCCTATGGGCACCTATGGGCTCCTATGGGCTCCTATGGGCTCCTATGGGCACCTATGGGTACCCCCAGACACACTGGAAGTACCAGCGGTGGTACTGGGTGCTGCCGGGGTGGGTGCCCACAAACAGGTTGGGCCGGATGCTGCCGGAGACAGGGACCTATAGGGACCTATGGGCACCTATGGGCTCCTATGGGCACCTATGGGGACCTATGGACTCCTATGGGGACCTATGGGTACCTATGGACTCCTATGGGGACCTATGGGCACCTATGGGCTCCTATGGGGACCTATGGGTACCTATGGGCTCCTATGGGCACCTATGGACACCTATGGGTACCTATGGGTACCTATGGACACTTATGGGTACCTATGGACCACTATGGACACCTGTGGATACCTATGGGTACCTATGGACTCCTATGGGGACTTATGGGCTCCTATAGGGATCTATGGGTACCTATGGGCTCCTATGGGGACCTATGGGCTCCTATGGGGACCTATGAGCTCCTATAGGGATCTATGGGCTCCTATGGGGACGTATGGGCACCTATGGGGACCTATGGGCTCCTATGGGGATCTATGGGCTCCTATGGGCACCTATGGGGACCTATGGGCTCCTATGGGCACCTATGGGCTCCTATGGGCACCTATGGGTACCCCCAGACACACTGGAAGTACCAGCGGTGGTACTGGGTGCTGCCGGGGTGGGTGCCCACAAACAGGTTGGGCCGGATGCTGCCGGAGACAGGGACCTATAGCGACCCATAGCGACCTATGGGCTCCTATGGGGACCTATAGGGACCTATAGAGACCTATGGGCTCCTATGGGGACCTATGGGGACCTATGGGGACCTATGGACCACTATGGGCTCCTATGGGCACCTATGGGCACCTATGGGCTCCTATAGGGACCTATGGGCTCCTATGGGCACCTATGGACACCTATGGGTACCTATGGGTACCTATGGACACTTATGGTTAGCTATGGACCACTATGGACACCTGTGGATACCTATGGACTCCTATGGACTCCTATGGGGACTTATGGGCTCCTATGGGTACCTATGGGCTCCTATGGGTACCTATGGGCACCTATGGGGACCTATGGGCTCCTATAGGGATCTATGGGCTCCTATACCCCCCATAGCTCCCATACCCCCCACACCCGCATAGCCCCATACTCCCCACAGCCCCCATACCCCCCCATAGCCCCCATACCCCCCATAGCCCCCATAGCCCCCATGCCCCCCATACCTCCCATACCCCCATACCCCCCATAGCCCCCATACCCCCATACCCCCCATACCCCCATAAGCCCCCATAGCCCCATAACCCCCATACACCCATTACCCCCCATACCCCCCATAGCCCCACAGCCCCCATAGCCCCCACCTGGTGACCCTGTCCACCAGCCCCGTCTGCAGGAGGAGGTCTCGGCGTGGGAGCAGGTTCTCGGTGATGAGGTTCTGGTTGGAGCGCACGGCAACGGCGTTGCACACGCACAGCGAGCACAGCACGTCCAGGACCTGAACACGGGAGAACATGGGAGAACATGGGATAACATGTGTGTTAACGTGTGTGTGATAACGTGTGTGTGTGATAACGTGTGTGTGTGAACATGGAGCACAGCACGTCCAGGACCTGAACACGGGAGAACATGGGATAACATGTGTGTTAACGTGTGTGTGATAACGTGTGTGTGTGAACATGGAGCACAGCACGTCCAGGACCTGAACACGGGAGAACATGGGATAACATGGGATAACATGTGTGTCCGTTAACGTGTGTCCGTTAACGTGTGTGCATTAACGTGTGTGCGTTAACGTGTGTGTGTGAACATGGAGCACAGCACATCCAGGACCTGGGATAACACGCGTGTTAACATGAGGTAACACATCAACGCGCGTCAACGGCACGAACGCGCTCCAACACGCGTCAACGCGCGTCAACGGCACGAACGCGCTCCAACGCGCGTCAACGCCACGAACGCGCTCCAACACGCGTCAACGCGCGTCAATGCCACGAACGCGCTCCAACACGCGGCGACGCGCGTCAACAGCACGAACGCGCTCCAACACGCGTCGACGCGTGTCAACAGCACGAACGCGCTCCAACATGCATCAACGTGTGTCAATGGCACGAACGCGCTCCAACACGCGTCGACGCGCGTCAACGGCACGAACGCGCTCCAATACGCGTCATCGCGCGTCAACGGCACCAACGCGCTCCAACACGCGTCAACGGCACCAACGCGCTCCAACACGCGTCAACGCGCGTCAACGGCACGAATGCGCTCCAACACGCGTCGACGCGCGTCAACGGCACGAACGCGCTCCAAGACGCGTCGACGCGCGTCAACGCCACGAACGCGCTCCAACACGCATCGACGCGCGTCAACGGCACGAACGCGCTCCAACACACGTCAACGCGTGTCAACTGCACGAACGCGCTCCAACATGCGTCAACGCCACGAACGCGCTCCAACACGCGTCAACGCGTGTCAACGGCACAAACGCGCTCCAACACGCGTCGACACCTGTCAATGGCACGAACGCGCTCCAACACGTGTCAACGGCACCAACGCGCTCCAACATGTGTCAACGCGCGTCAACGGCACGAACGTGCTCCAACACGCGTCAACGCGCGTCAACGGCACCAACGCGCTCCAACACGCGTCAACGCGTGTCAACGGCACCAACGCGCTCCAACACGCGTCAACGGCACGAACGCGCTCCAACACACGTCAACGCGCGTCAACGGCACGAACGCGCTCCAAAACACGTCAACGCGCATCAACGGCACCAACGTGCTCCAACACGCGTCAACGCGCGTCAACGGCACGAACGCGCTCCAACACACGTCAACGCGCGTCAACAGCACGAACCAGCTCCAACACGCGTCAACACGCGTCAACGGCACGAACGCGCTCCAATACGCGTCAACGCGTGTCAACGGCACCAACGCGCTCCAACACGCGTCAACGGCACCAACGCGCTCCAACACGCAGCAACGCGCGTCAACGGCACAAACGCGCTCCAACACGCGTCAACGCGTGTCAATGGCACAAACGCGCTCCAACACGCGTCAATGCGTGTCAATGGCATAAACATGCTCCGACACGCGTCAACAGGCACGAACACGCTCCAACACGCGTCAACGCGTGTCAATGGCATAAACATGCTCCGACACGCGTCAACAGGCACGAACACGCTCCAACACGCGTCAACGCGTGTCAACGGCACGAACGCGCTCGAACACGCGTCAACGCCACGAACACGCTCCAACATGCGTCAATGCGTGTCAACGGCACGAACGCGCTCCAACATGCATCAACGCGTGTCAACGGCACGAACGCGCTCCAACACGCGTCAACGCGCGTCAATGCCACGAACGCGCTCCAACACGCGGCGACGCGCGTCAACAGCACGAACGCGCTCCAACACGCGTCGACGCGTGTCAACAGCACGAACGCGCTCCAACATGCATCAACGTGTGTCAATGGCACGAACGCGCTCCAACACGCGTCGACGCGCGTCAACGGCACGAACGCGCTCCAATACGCGTCATCGCGCGTCAACGGCACCAACGCGCTCCAACACGCGTCAACGCGCGTCAACGGCACGAATGCGCTCCAACACGCGTCGACGCGCGTCAACGGCACGAACGCGCTCCAAGACGCGTCGACGCGCGTCAACGCCACGAACGCGCTCCAACACGCGTCGACGCGCGTCAACGGCACGAACGCGCTCCAACACACGTCAACGCGTGTCAACTGCACGAACGCGCTCCAACATGCGTCAACGCCACGAACGCGCTCCAACACGCGTCAACGCGTGTCAACGGCACAAACGCGCTCCAACACGCGTCGACACCTGTCAATGGCACGAACGCGCTCCAACACGTGTCAACGGCACCAACGCGCTCCAACACGTGTCTACGCGCGTCAACGGCACGAACGTGCTCCAACACGCGTCAACGCGCGTCAACGGCACCAACGCGCTCCAACACGCGTCAACGCGTGTCAACGGCACCAACGCGCTCCAACACGCGTCAACGGCACGAACGCGCTCCAACACACGTCAACGCGCGTCAACGGCACGAACGCGCTCCAAAACACGTCAACGCGCATCAACGGCACCAACGTGCTCCAACACGCGTCAACGCGCGTCAACGGCACGAACGCGCTCCAACACACGTCAACGCGCGTCAACAGCACGAACCAGCTCCAACACGCGTCAACACGCATCAACGGCACGAACGCGCTCCAATACGCGTCAACGCGTGTCAACGGCACCAACGCGCTCCAACACGCGTCAACGGCACCAACGCGCTCCAACACGCAGCAACGCGCGTCAACGGCACAAACGCGCTCCAACACGCGTCAACGCGTGTCAATGGCACAAACGCGCTCCAACACGCGTCAATGCGTGTCAATGGCATAAACATGCTCCGACACGCGTCAACAGGCACGAACACGCTCCAACACGCGTCAACGCGTGTCAATGGCATAAACATGCTCCGACACGCGTCAACAGGCACGAACACGCTCCAACACGCGTCAACGCGTGTCAACGGCACGAACGCGCTCGAACACGCGTCAACGCCACGAACACGCTCCAACACGCGTCAATGCGTGTCAACGGCACGAACGCGCTCCAACATGCATCAACGCGTGTCAACGGCACGAACGCGCTCCAACACGCGTCAACGCGTGTCAACGGCACGAACGCGCTCCAACACGCGTCAACGCGTGTCAATGGCACGAACGCGCTCCAACACGCATCAACGCGTGTCAACGGCACGAACGCGCTCCAACACACATCAACGCGTGTCAATGGCACGAACGCGCTCCAACACGCGTCAACGCCACGAACGCGCTCCAACACGCTCCAACACGCATCAATGGCACGAACACGCTCCAACACGCTCCAACACGCGTGTGTGCGGCACCTTGTGGTTGCGGCCGTGCTTGTCGAGCAGGGCGATGATGGACTTGATGTGGTTCTCCCGGATGATGTTGAGCACCTCGGGGCTCTCGATGAGCACGCAATAGAGCACCTCCAGGATGCCTGCCCCATAGCGACCCATAGAGAGAGCCATTGGGACCCATAGGGACCCATAGCGACCCATAGGGACCCATTGGGACCCATAGGGACACATAGAGACCCATAGAGAGACCCATAGAGACCCATAAAGACCCATGGAGACTCATAGGGACCCATAAAGACCCATAGCGACCCACAGCCTGACGCATAGTGTGGCTCACCCCCACAGCGACACAAAGCCTGACCCATGGTACAGTTCAGCCTCACAGCAGCCCACATCCTGCCCCATAGCGCCCCATATACAGCCCCATAGTGCCCCATATCCTGCCCCATAGCGCCCCACACCCTGCCCCAGAGCGCTCCATATCCAGCCGCATAGCTCCCCCTATCCAGCCCCATAGCACCCCATATCAACCCCATAGCATCCCATATCCACCCCATAGCACCCCATATCTTGCCCCATAGCACCCCACACTCTGCCTCATAGCGCCGCACACCCTGCCCCATAGCACCCCATATCCTGCCCCATAGCGCCCCATATCCTGCCCCACAGCACCCCATAGCACCCCATATCCACCCCATAGTGCCCCACACCCTGCCCCATAGCGCCCCACAGCACCCCACACCCTGCACCATAGTGCCCCCTATCCAGCCCCATAGCACCACATATCCTCCCCCATAGCGTCCCGTATCCAGTCCCATAGCACCCCCTATCCAGCCTCATAGTGCCTGCTATCCAGCCCCATAGCACCCCATATCCTGCCCCATAGCAGCCCCCCCAGCCCCATAGCGCCCCCTATCCAGCCCCATAGCGCCCCCTCTCCAGCCCCATAGCACCCCCCACATCCGCCCCATATCCTCCCCCATAGCGTCCCGTATCCAGTCCCATAGCACCCCCTATCCCGCCTCATAGCGCCTGCTATCCAGCCCCATAGCGCCCCATATCCTGCCCCATAGCAGGCCCCCCCAGCCCCATAGCGCCCCCTCTCCAGCCCCATAGCACCCCCCACATCCACCCCATATCCGCCCCATATCCTGCCCCATAGCGCCCCCTCTCCAGCCCCATAGCACCCCCCACATCCGCCCCATATCCGCCCCCTATCCAGCCCCATAGCACCCCCCATCCAGCCCCATACCCACCCTGCCCCGCCCCCCTCCAGCCCCATATCCAGCCCCATAGCGCCCCATATCCTGCCCCATAGCCCCACCAGCCCCACGCCCCCTCCCTGCCCCATAGCACCCCCCACCCATCCAGCCCCATAGCGCCCCCCACACCCCGCCCCCACAGCACCCCACACCCTGCACCATAGCGCCCCATCCAGCCCCATAGCACCCTGCCCCATAGCGCCCCACCCATATCCTGCCCCATAGCGCCCCCACATCCAGCCCCATAGCACCCCCTATCCTGCCCCATCCAGCCCCATGCCCCCCTCCCCAGCCCCATAGCCCCCACCCCCATCCTGCCCCATAGCTCTCCTGCCCCATAGCACCCCCCACATCCTGCCCCATATCCGCCCCCATCCTGCCCCATAGCACCCCCACAGCCCCATGCCCCTGCCCCATAGCGCACCCACCCTGCCCCATAGCGCCCCCCCCCACCCTGCCCCACGGCACCCACTCCTGCCCCATAGCGCCCCCCCTGCCCCATAGCGCCCCACACCCCACCCTGCCCCATAGCCCCACCCATGCCCCATAGCGCACCCCACCTGGCGCCCCATAGCACCCACCCTGCCCCATAGCGCCCCACGGCACCCACCCTGCCCCATAGCGCCCCACGGCACCCAGCCCCATAGCACCCCCCTGCCCCCAGCACCCACCCTGCCCCATAGAGAGAGCACCCACCCTGCCCCATAGCGCCCCACGGCAGCGCCCCACCACCCTGCCCCCCGGCACCCACCCTGCCCCATAGCGCCCCACGGCACCCACCCTGCCCCATAGCGCCCCACGGCGCCCACCCTGCCCCATAGCGCCCCATGGCACCCACCCTGCCCCATAGCACCCACCCTGCCCCATAGCGCCCCACGGCACCCACCCTGCCCCATAGCGCCCCACGGCACCCACCCTGCCCCATAGCGCCCCACGGCACCCACCCTGCCCCATAGCGCCCCACGGCACCCACCCTGCCCCATAGCGCCCCACGGCACCCACCCTGCCCCATAGCGCCCCACAGCACCCACCCTGCCCCATAGCGCCCCACGGCACCCACCCTGCCCCACAGCACCCACCCTGCCCCATAGCGCCCCACGGCACCCACCCTGCCCCACAGCACCCACCCTGCCCCATAGCGCCCCACGGCACCCACCCTGCCCCATAGCACCCATCCCGCCCCATAGCAGCCCCATAGCATCCATCCAGCCCCATAGCCCCATAGCAGCCCCATAGCACCCATCCCGCCCCATAGCCCCATAGCACCCATCCCGCCCCATAGCAGCCCCATAGCATCCATCCTGCCCCATAGCCGCCGCATAGCTGCCCCATAGCATCCATCCTGCCCCACAGCCGCCGCATAGCCCCATAGCAGCCCCATAGCACCCATCCCGCCCCATAGCCGCCCCATAGCCCCATAGCTGCCCCACAGCCCCATAGCCGCCCCATAGCATCCCTCCCACCCCATAGCAGCCCCAGAGCATCCATCCTGCCCCATAGCATCCGTCCCGCCCCATAGCCGCCCCACAGCGCCATAGCCGCCCCACAGCCCCATAGCCGCCCCATAGCATCCCTCCCGCCCCATAGCCCCATAGCCGCCCCATAGCATCCCTCCCACCCCATAGCAGCCCCATAGCATCCATCCTGCCCCACAGCATCCCTCTGGCCCCATAGCCTCCCCACAGCCCCATAGCCGCCCCATAGCACCCATCCCGCCCCATAGCCCCATAGCTGCCCCATAGCACCCATCCCGCCCCATAGCCCCATAGCTGTCCCATAGCACCCATCCCGCCCCATAGCCGCCCCATAGCCCCATAGCCGCCCCATAGCAGCCCCATAGCGCCCCCGCCCCATAGCAGCCCCATAGCATCCCTCCCTCCCCCATAGCCCCATAGCATCCCTCCCTCCCCATAGCCCCATAGCAGCCCCATAGCATCCCTCCTGCCCCATAGCAGCCCCATAGCACCCATCCCGCCCCATAGCCCCATAGCTGCCCCATAGCAGCCCCATAGCTGCCCCATAGCAGCTCGATGACAGCTGCCCCATAGCAGCCCCATAGCTGCCCCATAGCACCCATCCCGCCCCATAGCCCCACAGCCCCATAGCCGCCCCATAGCCCCATAGCTGCCCCATAGCAGCCCCATAGCTGCCCCATAGCACCCATCCCACCCCATAGCCGCCCCATAGCCCCATAGCCGCCCCATAGCCCCATAGCTGCCCCATAGCTGCCCCACAGCCGCCCCAGAGCTGCCCCATAGCAGCCCCACAGCCCCATAGCCGCTCCATAGCCCCATAGCCACCCCACAGCCGCATAGCTGCCCCATAGCACCCATCCCGCCCCATAGCCCCATAGCCGCCCCATAGCACCCATCCCGCCCCATAGCCCCATAGCTGCCCCATAGCAGCCCCATAGCATCCCTCCCGCCCCACAGCCCCATAGCTGCCCCACAGCCCCATAGCCGCCCCATAGCCCAATAGCCGCCCCATAGCACCCATCCCACCCCATAGCCGCCCCATAGCCCCATAGCCGCCCCATAGCCCCATAGCCGCCCCATAGCACCCATCCTGCCCCATAGCTGCCCCATAGCAGCCCCATAGCTGCCCCATAGCACCCATCCTGCCCCATAGCTGCCCCATAGCCGCCCCACAGCCGCCCCCCGGCGCACCCAGCAGCTCATAGAGCAGGTTCACGATCTCCTTGGCGGCCGCCGCCTCCTCGCCCCCCCCGCGCTCGGCCAGGGCCGCGCTGAGCCCGCTCAGGCGATCGATGCAGCTGAGCACGAGCGCCACCAGCCCCTGGGACCCACAGAGACCCATGGGGATACATGGGGACCCATAGAGACACATAGGGATACATAGGGATACATAGGGAGCCATGGGGACCCATAGAGACCCATAGGGACCCATAGAGACCCATAGGGACCCATAGAGACCCATAGGGACCCATAGAGACCCATAGAGACCCATAGGGACCCATAGAGACCCATAGGGACACATAGAGACACATAGAGACACATAGAGACCCATGGGGATACATAGAGACACATAGAGACACATAGGGACCCATAGGGACACATAGGGACCCATAGAGACCCATAGGGACCCATAGGGACCCATAGAGACACATAGAGACACATAGAGCCATAGGGACCCATAGAGACCCATAGAGAGCCATAGAGACACATAGAGACACATAGAGACCCATAGGGACACATAGAGACACATAGAGACACATAGAGAGCCATAGGGACCCATAGAGACACATAGAGACACATAGAGACCCATAGAGACACATAGAGACACATAGAGACACATAGAGAGCCATAGAGACCCATAGAGACCATGGAGACCCATAGGGACACATAGAGACCCATAGAGACCCATAGAGACACATAGAGACACATAGAGACACATAGAGACCCATAGAGACACATAGAGACACATAGAGACACATAGGGACCCATAGGGACCCATAGAGACCCATAGAGACCCATAGGGACCCATAGGGACCCATAGAGACCCATAGAGACACATAGAGACACATAGAGACACATAGGGACCCATAGAGACACATAGGGACACATAGAGACCCATAGGGACACATAGAGACACATAGAGACACATAGGGACCCATAGAGACACATAGAGACCCCACAGGGACCCATAGAAACCCATAGAGACCCATAGAGACACATAGAGACCCCATAGGGACCCATAGAGACGGCATAGGGACCCATAGAGACCCACAGGGACACAGAGGGACACATAGAGACACAGAGACACATAGAAACCCATAGAGACACATAGGGACCCATAGGGACCCATAGAGAGCCATGGGAACCCATAGAGACACATAGAGACCCATAGAGACCCATAGGGACCCATAGGGACCCATAGAGAGCCATGGGAACCCATAGAGACACATAGAGACCCATAGGGACCCATAAAGTGCTCCACAGCCAGCCCCATAGACACACACTCTGCCCCATAGGCAACCACTCTGCCCCATAACCCAGCCCCCATAGACACACACTCTGCCCCATAGCCAGCCCCATAGACACTTTACCCCATAGCCAGGCCCATAGACACACACTCTGCCCCATAGACACACACTCTGCCCCATAACCTACCCCCATAGCCCTGCCCCATAGCCACACCCGCTCTGCCCCTCCCTCAGACCCCCTCCCCCCATAACCCCTATATCCCCTCCCCCCTCTCGCCCCTCCCCCCTATACCCCTCCCCCATCGCCCCCCCACCCCTAGCCCCTCCCCCTCCCCCCGTCTCACCCCTCCCCTCTCCGCCCCTCCCCCTCTCACCCCTCCCCCTCTCGCCCCTCCCCCCTCCTCTCGCCCCTCCCCCATACCCCTTCCCCCCATAACCCCATATCCCCTCCCCCCTCTAGCCCCTCCCCCCTATACCCCTCCCCCTTCGCCCCCCTCACCCTCTCGCCCCTCCCCCTCCCCCATAGCCCCTCCCCCGTCTCGCCCTCCCCCCTCTCGCCCCTCCCCCCCCCCCCTCCCCTTTCCCCCCCCTCCCCCCTCTCGCCCCCCCTCTCGCCCCTCCCCCATACCCCCTCCCCTCCTCTCGCCCCTCCCCCACTCGCCCCTCCCCCCCTCCCCCTCCTCTCGCCCCTCCCCCTCCTCTCGCTCCTCCCCCTTCGCCCCCCTCACCCCTCTCACCCCTCCCCCCCTCGCTGCCTTCCCCCCTCTCGCCCATCCCCCTCCTCTCGCCCCTCCCCCCCTCACCCCTCCCCTCCTCTCGCCCCTTCCCCCCCCCCGCCCTTCCCCTCTCGCCCCTCCCCCACTCGCCCCTCCCCCCATGAGCCCCCTCCCCCCTCTTTCCCGTCCCCCCTCTCTAGAGCCCCTCCCCCCCAGCCCCTCCCCCATAGCCCCTCCACCCTCCCCCCCTCGCCCCTCCCCTTTCACCCCTCCCCCCTCGCCCATCCCCCTCATCTCGCCCCTCCCCCCTCACCCCTCCCCTCCTCTCGCCCCATCCCCCCCGCCCTTCCCCTCTCGCCCCTCCCCCACTCGCCCCTCCCCCCCATACCCCCTCCCCCCTCTTTCCCCTCCCCCCTCCTCTCGCCCCTCCCCCACTCACCCCTCCCCCCTATACCCCCTCCCCCTTCGCTCCCCTCCCCCCCCTCCCCCCCCCTCTGGCCCCTCCCCCCGCCCCTCCCCCATAGCCCCTCCCCCCTCCCCTGGCCCCTCCCCCCCATAGGCCCCTCCCCCTCACCTCCTGTTGGAAGAGGTTTTGCCGCGCCCTCAGGGCCCTCAGCGCGCGCTGCCTCTGCTCGTGCTGCAGCGCCCCCCGCGGGGGCCGGAAGTACCGGATGAGGTCCCGCAGGCTCAGCTCCACGGCGGCCAATGGGAGCGAGGGGGCGGGGCCCGAGCGGGACCGCGCGCTCAGCGCGTCCAATGAGCTGCGGGGTCACGGAGGGGTCAGAGGCACAGAGAGGGACCCACAGAGACCCATAGAGCCCCATAGCGACCCATAGCCTGCCCCATAGCGCAACATAGAGCCCCATAGACCCCCAGCCCCACAGCCCACCCCATAGAGCCCCATAGACCCCCAGCCCCATAGTGCCCCATATAGCCCCATAGACCCCCAGCCCCATAGACACCCAGCCCCATAGCCCACCCCATAGCGCCCCATAGCGCCCCATAGCCCACCCCATAGCCCACCCCATAGCCCGCCCCATAGCGCCCCATAGCCCACCCCATAGCCCATAGCCCGCCCCATAGCCCACCCCACAGCCCGCCCCATAGCCCACCCCATAGCCCGCCCTATAGCGCCCCATAGCCCACCCCATAGCCTGCCCCATAGCCCGCCCCATAGCCCACCCCTATAGCGCCCCATAGCCCACCCCATAGCCCACCCCATAGCCCACCCCATAGCCCGCCCCATAGCCCACCCCATAGCCCACCCCATAGCGCCCCATAGCCCACCCCATAGCCCACCCCACAGCCCGCCCCATAGCCTGCCCCATAGCGCCCCATAGCCCGCCCCATAGCGCCCCATAGCCCGCCCCATAGCCCGCCCCACACCCTGCCCCACAGCCTGCCCCATAGCCCGCCCCATAGCGCCCCATAGCCCACCCCATAGCACCCCATAGCCCACCCCATAGCCCACCCCATAGCCCAGCCCATAGCACCCCACAGCCCACCCCATAGCCTGCCCCGTAGCCCACCCCATAGCCGACCCCATAGCCCACCCCACCCCATAGCCCACCCCATAGCCCGCCCCATAGCCCACCCCATAGCCCGCCCCATAGCACCCCATAGCCCACCCCATAGCGCCCCATAGCCTGCCCCATAGTGCCCCATAGCCCACCCCATAGCCCGCCCCATAGCGCACCCCATAGCCCACCCCATAGTGCCCCATAGTCCCCCAGCCCCATAGCGCCCCATAGCGCCCCATAGCGCCCCCTACGCACCGGATGAAGTGCCCGTAGAGGCCGGCCGTGCTGTAAACCATCCGCGCCGCCTGCGCCTCCTGCTGCTGGGAGCGCGCCAGCGACAGCGAATCGTCCATGTGGCCCTCCTGGTGCAGGATGGCCTGGGGGGACAGCGGGACCCATAGGGAGCCATGGGGACACATAGGGACCCATAGAGACCCATAGAGACCCATAGGGACACATAGGGACACATAGGGACACATAGGGACCCATAGAGACCCATAGAGACCCATAGGGACACATAGGGACACATAGGGACACATAGGGACCCATAGAGACCCATAGAGACCCATAGAGACCCATAGAGACCCATAGAGACCCATAGGGACACATAGGGACACATAGGGACACATAGAGACACATAGAGACACATAGAGACACATAGGGACACATAGAGACACATAGAGACACATAGGGACACATAGGGACACATAGAGACACATAGGGACACATAGAGACACATAGGGACACATAGAGACCCATAGGGACCCATAGGGACACATAGGGACACATAGGGACACATAGGGACACATAGAGACACATAGAGACACATAGGGACACATAGAGACCCATAGAGACCCATAGGGACACATAGAGACACATAGAGACACATAGGGACACATAGAGACACATAGAGACACATAGAGACCCATAGAGACCCATAGAGACCCATAGAGACCCATAGAGACCCATAGAGACACATAGGGACCCATAGAGACACATAGGGACACATAGAGACACATAGAGACCCATAGGGACACATAGGGACACATAGGGACCCATAGGGACAAACAGCCCCATAGCACATCCCCAGGCCCATTGCTATACCCCAGCCCCATAGCGCCCCATAGCGCCCCACATTGCCCCACATTGCCCCACCTTCCTCTTGAGCAGCCCCAGGCGCAGCCCCATTGCTATACCCCAGCCCCATTGCTATACCCCAGCCCCATTGCTGTACCCCAGCCCCATAGCGCATCCCCAGCCCCATAGCGCCCCATAGCGCCCCATAGCGCCCCACCTTCCTCTTGAGCAGCCCCAGGCGCAGGGCCTTGCTGTCGGCCGCCGCGTAGGTGAGCCAGAGCCCCGAGCGCATCCCCAGCCCCATAGCGCCCCATAGCGCCCCATAGCGCCCCATAGCGCCCCATAGCGCCCCATAGCGCCCCACCTTCCTCTTGAGCAGCCCCAGGCGCAGGGCCTTGCTGTCGGCCGCCGCGTAGGTGAGCCAGAGCCCCGAGCGCATCCCCAGCCCCATAGCGCCCCATAGCGCCCCATAGCGCCCCACAGCGCCCCATAGCGCCCCATAGCGCCCCACCTTCCTCTTGAGCAGCCCGAGGCGCAGGGCCTTGCTGTCGGCCGCCGCGTAGGTGAGCCAGAGCCCCGAGCGCATCCCCAGCCCCATAGCGCCCCATAGCGCCCCATAGCGCCCCATAGCGCCCCATAGCGCCCCATAGCGCCCCATAGCGCCCCACCTTCCTCTTGAGCAGCCCCAGGCGCAGGGCCTTGCTGTCGGCCGCTGCGTAGGTGAGCCAGAGCCCCGAGCGCATCCCCAGCCCCATAGCGCCCCATAGCGCCCCATAGCGCCCCATAGCGTCCCATAGCGCCCCAGAGCGCCCCACCTTCCTCTTGAGCAGCCCCAGGCGCAGGGCCTTGCTGTACCCCAGCCCCATTGCTGTACCCCAGCCCCATAGCGCATCCCCAGCCCCATAGCGCCCCATAGCGCCCCATAGCGCCCCACAGCGCCCCATAGCGCCCCATAGCGCCCCATAGCGCCCCACAGCGCCCCATAGCGCCCCATAGCGCCCCATAGCGCCCCATAGCGCCCCATAGCGCCCCACCTTCCTCTTGAGCAGCCCCAGGCGCAGGGCCTTGCTGTCGGCCGCCGCGTAGGTGAGCCAGAGCCCCGAGCGCATCCCCAGCCCCATAGCGCCCCATAGCGCCCCATAGCGCCCCATAGCGCCCCACCTTCCTCTTGAGCAGCCCCAGGCGCAGGGCCTTGCTGTACCCCAGCCCCATTGCTGTACCCCAGCCCCATAGCGCATCCCCAGCCCCATAGCGCCCCATAGCACCCCATAGCGCCCCACAGCGCCCCATAGCGCCCCATAGCGCCCCATAGCGCCCCACCTTCCTCTTGAGCAGCCCCAGGCGCAGGGCCTTGCTGTACCCCAGCCCCATTGCTGTACCCCAGCCCCATAGCGCCCCATAGCGCCCCATAGCGCCCCATGGCGCCCCATAGCGCCCCACCTTCCTCTTGAGCAGCCCCAGGCGCAGGGCCTTGCTGTACCCCAGCCCCATAGCACCCCATAGCGCCCCATAGCGCCCCATAGCGCCCCATAGCGCCCCATAGCGCCCCACCTTCCTCTTGAGCAGCCCGAGGCGCAGGGCCTTGCTGTCGGCCGCCGCGTAGGTGAGCCAGAGCCCCGAGCGCATCCCCAGCCCCACAGCGCCCCATAGCGCCCCATAGCGCCCCATAGCGCCCCATAGCGCCCCACCTTCCTCTTGAGCAGCCCCAGGCGCAGGGCCTTGCTGTCGGCCGCCGCGTAGGTGAGCCAGAGCCCCGAGCGCATCCCCAGCCCCATAGCGCCCCATAGCGCCCCATAGCGCCCCATAGCGCCCCATAGCGCCCCATAGCGCCCCATAGCGCCCCATAGCACCCCATAGCGCCCCACCTTCCTCTTGAGCAGCCCCAGGCGCAGGGCCTTGCTGTCGGCCGCCGCGTAGGTGAGCCAGAGCCCCGAGCGCATCCCCAGCCCCATAGCGCCCCATAGCGCCCCATAGCGCCCCATAGCGCCCCACCTTCCTCTTGAGCAGCCCCAGGCGCAGGGCCTTGCTGTACCCCAGCCCCATAGCGCCCCATAGCACCCCATAGCGCCCCATAGCGCCCCATAGCGCCCCACAGCGCCCCATAGCGCCCCATAGCGCCCCATAGCGCCCCACCTTCCTCTTGAGCAGCCCCAGGCGCAGGGCCTTGCTGTCGGCCGCCGCGTAGGTGAGCCAGAGCCCCGAGCGCATCCCCAGCCCCATAGCGCCCCACAGCGCCCCATAGCGCCCCATAGCGCCCCATAGCGCCCCACCTTCCTCTTGAGCAGCCCCAGGCGCAGGGCCTTGCTGTACCCCAGCCCCATTGCTGTACCCCAGCCCCATTGCTGTACCCCAGCCCCATAGCGCCCCATAGCGCCCCATAGCGCCCCATAGCGCCCCACCTTCCTCTTGAGCAGCCCCAGGCGCAGGGCCTTGCTGTCGGCCGCCGCGTAGGTGAGCCAGAGCCCCGAGCGCATCCCCAGCCCCATAGCGCCCCATAGCGCCCCATAGCGCCCCATAGCGCCCCATAGCGCCCCACCTTCCTCTTGAGCAGCCCCAGGCGCAGGGCCTTGCTGTACCCCAGCCCCATAGCTCCCCATAGCGCCCCATAGCGCATCCCCAGCCCCATAGCGCCCCATAGCGCCCCACATTGCCCCATAGCGCCCCATAGCGCCCCACCTTCCTCTTGAGCAGCCCCAGGCGCAGGGCCTTGCTGTACCCCAGCCCCATAGCGCCCCATAGCGCCCCACATCACCCCATAGCGCCCCATAGCGCCCCACATCGCCCCATAGCGCCCCACCTTCCTCTTGAGCAGCCCCAGGCGCAGGGCCTTGCTGTACCCCAGCCCCATTGCTGTACCCCAGCCCCATAGCGCCCCATAGCGCCCCATAGCACCCCATAGCGCCCCATAGCGCCCCATAGCGCCCCATAGCACCCCACCTTCCTCTTGAGCAGCCCCAGGCGCAGGGCGTTGCTGTACCCCAGCCCCATTGCTGTACCCCAGCCCCACAGCGCCCACAGCGCCCCATAGCGCCCCATAGCGCCCCATAGCGCCCCATAGCGCCCCATAGCGCCCCATAGCGCCCCATAGCGCCCCACCTTCCTCTTGAGCAGCCCCAGGCGCAGGGCCTTGCTGTCGGCCGCCGCGTAGGTGAGCCAGAGCCCCGAGCGCATCCCCAGCCCCATAGCGCCCCATAGCGCCCCATAGCGCCCCATAGCGCCCCATAGCGCCCCATAGCGCCCCATAGCGCCCCATAGCACCCCATAGCGCCCCACCTTCCTCTTGAGCAGCCCCAGGCGCAGGGCCTTGCTGTCGGCCGCCGCGTAGGTGAGCCAGAGCCCCGAGCGCATCCCCAGCCCCATAGCGCCCCATAGCGCCCCATAGCGCCCCATAGCGCCCCACCTTCCTCTTGAGCAGCCCCAGGCGCAGGGCCTTGCTGTACCCCAGCCCCATTGCTGTACCCCAGCCCCATAGCGCCCCATAGCGCCCCATAGCGCCCCATAGCACCCCATAGCGCCCCATAGCGCCCCATAGCGCCCCACAGCGCCCCATAGCGCCCCATAGCGCCCCATAGCGCCCCACCTTCCTCTTGAGCAGCCCCAGGCGCAGGGCCTTGCTGTCGGCCGCCGCGTAGGTGAGCCAGAGCCCCGAGCGCATCCCCAGCCCCATAGCGCCCCACAGCGCCCCATAGCGCCCCATAGCGCCCCATAGCGCCCCACCTTCCTCTTGAGCAGCCCCAGGCGCAGGGCCTTGCTGTACCCCAGCCCCATTGCTGTACCCCAGCCCCATTGCTGTACCCCAGCCCCATAGCGCCCCATAGCGCCCCATAGCGCCCCATAGCGCCCCACCTTCCTCTTGAGCAGCCCCAGGCGCAGGGCCTTGCTGTCGGCCGCCGCGTAGGTGAGCCAGAGCCCCGAGCGCATCCCCAGCCCCATAGCGCCCCATAGCGCCCCATAGCGCCCCATAGCGCCCCATAGCGCCCCACCTTCCTCTTGAGCAGCCCCAGGCGCAGGGCCTTGCTGTACCCCAGCCCCATAGCTCCCCATAGCGCCCCATAGCGCATCCCCAGCCCCATAGCGCCCCATAGCGCCCCACATTGCCCCATAGCGCCCCATAGCGCCCCACCTTCCTCTTGAGCAGCCCCAGGCGCAGGGCCTTGCTGTACCCCAGCCCCATAGCGCCCCATAGCGCCCCACATCACCCCATAGCGCCCCATAGCGCCCCACATCGCCCCATAGCGCCCCACCTTCCTCTTGAGCAGCCCCAGGCGCAGGGCCTTGCTGTACCCCAGCCCCATTGCTGTACCCCAGCCCCATAGCGCCCCATAGCGCCCCATAGCACCCCATAGCGCCCCATAGCGCCCCATAGCGCCCCACAGCGCCCCACCTTCCTCTTGAGCAGCCCCAGGCGCAGGGCCTTGCTGTACCCCAGCCCCATTGCTGTACCCCAGCCCCACAGCGCCCACAGCGCCCCATAGCGCCCCATAGCGCCCCATAGCGCCCCATAGCGCCCCATAGCGCCCCATAGCGCCCCATAGCGCCCCACCTTCCTCTTGAGCAGCCCCAGGCGCAGGGCCTTGCTGTCGGCCGCCGCGTAGGTGAGCCAGAGCCCCGAGCGCATCCCCAGCCCCATAGCGCCCCATAGCGCCCCATAGCGCCCCATAGCGCCCCACCTTCCTCTTGAGCAGCCCCAGGCGCAGGGCCTTGCTGTACCCCAGCCCCATAGCGCCCCATAGCGCCCCATGGCGCCCCATAGCGCCCCATAGCGCCCCATAGCGCCCCACCTTCCTCTTGAGCAGCCCCAGGCGCAGGGCCTTGCTGTCGGCCGCCGCGTAGGTGAGCCAGAGCCCCGAGCGCATCCCCAGCCCCATAGCGCCCCATAGCGCCCCATAGCGCCCCATAGCGCCCCACCTTCCTCTTGAGCAGCCCGAGGCGCAGGGCCTTGCTGTACCCCAGCCCCATAGCGCCCCATAGCGCCCCATAGCGCATCCCCAGCCCCACAGCGCCCCATAGCGCCCCACCTTCCTCTTGAGCAGCCCCAGGCGCAGGGCCTTGCTGTCGGCCGCCGCGTAGGTGAGCCAGAGCCCTGAGCGCATCCCCAGCCCCATAGCGCCCCATAGCGCCCCACATCGCCCCATAGCACCCCACAGCGCCCCATAGCGCCCCATAGCGCCCCATAGCGCCCCACCTTCCTCTTGAGCAGCCCGAGGCGCAGCCCCATTGCTGTACCCCAGCCCCATAGCGCATCCCCAGCCCCATAGCGCCCCATAGCGCCCCATAGCGCCCCACCTTCCTCTTGAGCAGCCCCAGGCGCAGGGCCTTGCTGTCGGCCGCCGCGTAGGTGAGCCAGAGCCCCGAGCGCATCCCCAGCCCCATAGCGCCCCACAGCGCCCCATAGCGCCCCATAGCGCCCCATAGCACCCCATAGCGCCCCATAGCGCCCCATAGCGCCCCATAGCGCCCCATAGTGCCCCATAGCGCCCCACCTTCCTCTTGAGCAGCCCCAGGCGCAGGGCCTTGCTGCACCCCAGCCCCATAGCGCCCCATAGCGCCCCATAGCGCCCCATAGCGCCCCATAGCGCCCCATAGCGCCCCATAGCGCCCCACCTTCCTCTTGAGCAGCCCCAGGCGCAGGGCCTTGCTGTCGGCCGCCGCGTAGGTGAGCCAGAGCCCCGAGCGCATCCCCAGCCCCATAGCGCCCCATAGCGCCCCACAGCGCCCCATAGCGCCCCATAGCGCCCCATAGCGCCCCACCTTCCTCTTGAGCAGCCCCAGGCGCAGGGCCTTGCTGTACCCCAGCCCCATTGCTGTACCCCAGCCCCATAGCGCATCCCCAGCCCCATTGCGCCCCATAGCGCCCCATAGCGCCCCATAGCGCCCCATAGCGCCCCACCTTCCTCTTGAGCAGCCCCAGGCGCAGGGCCTTGCTGTCGGCCGCCGCGTAGGTGAGCCAGAGCCCCGAGCGCATCCCCAGCCCCATAGCGCCCCATAGCGCCCCATAGCGCCCCATAGCGCCCCATAGCGCCCCATAGCGCCCCACCTTCCTCTTGAGCAGCCCCAGGCGCAGGGCCTTGCTGTCGGCCGCCGCGTAGGTGAGCCAGAGCCCCGAGCGCATCCCCAGCCCCATAGCGCCCCATAGCGCCCCATAGCGCCCCATAGTGCCCCATAGCGCCCCATAGCGCCCCATAGCGCCCCACCTTCCTCTTGAGCAGCCCCAGGCGCAGGGCCTTGCTGTCGGCCGCCGCGTAGGTGAGCCAGAGCCCCGAGCGCGCGTGCTGCAGGAAGCACAGGGACTCCCCGTACTTGAGCTCCGGGGGCCCCATCCCCTCCACGTCCCGCTTGGGGGGAGCCTCCTGCTTCTCCTGGGGGGGGAGGGGATGGGGGGGTCAGGGGGGGTCAGCACAGGGTCAAAGTGAGGTCAGGGTGGGGTCAGGTGGGGTCAGGACGGGGTCAGGATGGGGTCAGGGAGGGGTCAGGATGAGGTCAGGATGGGGTCAAGATGAGGTCAGGGTGGGGTCAAAGCGGGGTCAGGGTGGGGTCAGGATGAGGTCAAGGTGGGGTCAGGGTGAGGTCAGGATGGGGTCAAAGTGAGGTCAGGGTGGGGTCAAAGTGGGTTCAGGATAGGGTCAAAGTGGGGTCAGGGTGGGGTCTGGTGGGGTCAGGATGGGGTCAGGATGAGGTCAAGGGTGGGGTCAAAGTGGGGTCAGGGTGGGGTCAGGGTGAGGTCAAGGGTGGGGTCAGGATAAGGTCAGGGTGGGGTCAGGGTGGGGTCAGGATGGGGTCAGGACGGGGTCAGGGAGGGGTCAGGTGGGGTCAGGGTAAGGTCATGGTGGGGTCAAAGTGGGGTCAGGATGGGGTCAGGTTGAGGTCAAGGTGGGGTCAGCACGGGGTCAGGGTGGGGTCAATGTGGGGTCAGGGTGGGGTCAGGGAGGGGTCAAAGTGGGGTCAGGGTGGGGTCAGGTGGGGTCAGCTGGGGTCAGGTGGGGTCAGGGTAAGGTCACGGTGGGGTCAAAGTGGGGTCAGGATGGGGTCAGGTTGAGGTCAGGATGGGGTCAATGTGGGGTCAGGATGGGGTCAGGATGGGGTCAATGTGGGGTCAGGATGGGGTCAGGATGAGGCCAGGGTGAGGTCAGGATGGGGTCAAAGGGGGTCAGGACGGGGTCAGGATGGGGTCAGGGAGGGGTCAGGGTGGGGTCAGGTGGGGTCAGGATGAGGTCAAGGTGGGGTCAGCACGGGGTCAGGGTGAGGTCAGGATGGGGTCAAAGTGGGGTCAGGATGGGGTCAGGGTGGGGTCAGGGTGGGGTCATGGGGGGTCAGGGTGGGGTTAAGGAGGGGTCAAGGTGGGGTCAGGACGGGGTCAGGATGGGGTCAGGATGGGGTCAATGTGGGGTCAGGATGGGGTCAGGACAGGGTCAGAATGGGGTCAGGATGGGGTCAGGATGAGGTCAGGGTGGGGTCAGGATGGGGTCAGGGTGAGGTCAATGTGGGGACAGGACAGGGTCAGGATGGGGTCAGGACGGGGTCAGGTGGGGTCAGGATGGGGTCAGGATGGGGTCAGGATGAGGTCAGGGTGAGGTCAGGATGGGGTCAATGTGGGGTCAGGACGGGATCAAGTGGGGTCAGGATGGGGTCAGGATGGGGTCAGGACGGGGTCAGGTGGGGTCAGGCTGGGGTCAGGCCGGGGTCAGGCCGGGGTCAGGATGAGGTCAGGATGGGGTCAAAGTGAGGTCAGGATGGGGTCAATGTGGGGTCAGGCCGGGGTCAGGCCGTGCCCCGGCAGTGACCTTGGAGGCCCGGAAGCAGAAGGCGGTCACGTGAGTGCTGGCGGCCGCCGCCTCCACCAGGCCGAGGCCTTGATCCCCCGGCAGCCCCAGGTACCGGCCCGTGGTCACGTGACGCAGGCGGAAGGGCTGGGCCCAGCGCAGGTGACTCCCGCTCCAGCTGCATTATGGGATGGAGGGGGGTTATTATGGGATGGAGGGGGGGTTATTATGGGATGGAGGGGGGTTATTATGGGATGGAGGGGGGTTATTATGGGGTGGAGGGGGGTTATTATGGGATGGAGGGGGGTTATTATGGGATGGAGGGGGGTTATTATGGGGTGGAGGGGGGTTATTATGGGGTGGAGGGGGGGGTATGGGATGGAGGGGTTATTATGGGATGGAGGGGGGTTATTATGGGGTGGAGGGGGGGTTATTATGGGGTGGAGGGGGTTATTATGGGATGGAGGGGGGTTATGGGGTGGAGGGGGGGGTATGGGGTGGAGGGGGGGTTATTATGGGGTGGAGGGGGGTTATTATGGGGTAAAGGGGGGGGTTATTATGGGATGGAGGGGGGTCAATGGGGCCACCATGGAGGTCAATGGGGACACCAAGGGGGTCAATGGAGACGCCACGGGGGTCAATGGGGACGCCATGGAGGTCAATGGGGACGCCATTGGGGTCAATGGGGACACCATGGGGGTCAAGGGGGACACCATGGGGGTCAATGGGGACATCATTGGGGGTCAATGGGGACACCATGGGGGGCAATGGGGACACCATTGGGGTCAATGGGGACGTCATTGGGTCAATGGGGACATCATTGGGGTCAATGGGGACGCCATTGGGGTCAATGGGGACGCCATGGGGGTCAATGGGGACACCATTGGGGTCAATGGGGACGCCATGGGGGTCAATGGGGACACCATGGGGGTCAATGGGGACACCATGGGGGTCAATGGGGACGTCATTGGGTCAATGGGGACATCATTGGGGTCAATGGGGACACCATGGGGGTCAATGGGGATGCCATTCGGGTCAATGGGGACGCCATGGGGGTCAATGGGGACACCATGGGGGTCAATGGGGATGCCATTCGGGTCAATGGGGATGCCATTTGGGTCAATGGGGACGCCATGGGGGTCAATGGGGACGCCATTGGGGTCAATGAAGACGCCATGGGGGTCAATGGAGACGCCATGGGGGTCAATGGGGACACCATTGGGGTCAATGGGGACGCCATGGGGGTCAATGGGGACACCATGGGGGTCAAGGGGGATGCCATGGGGGTCAATGGGGACATCATTGGGGTCAATGGGGACGCCATGGGGGTCAATGGGGACGTCATTGGGTCAATGGGGACATCATTGGGGTCAATGGGGACATCATTGGGGTCAATGGGGACGCCATGGGGTCAATGGGGCCGTCGGTACCTGATGCGCAGCGGCTCCAGGCGCCAAAGGGAGCGGGCCTGGGTGCAGGCGGCTCCTCCCTCATAGCTGACAACACTGCTGGGGGGGCACCGTCAGGACAGCCCCCCGGGGCCAGTGCCCCACATCCCATAATACCCCATAGCCCATATATCCCATATACCCCATCCCCCATACCCTATATACCCCATACATCCCATACCCCATACCCCATATATCCCATATACCCCATACATCCCATATCCCATACATCCCATACCCCATATCCCCTATATCCCATACCCCATATATCCCATATACCCCATACATCCCATACCCCATACCTTATATATCCCATATACCCCATCCCCCATACCCTATATACCCCATACATCCCATACCCCATACCCCATATATCCCATATATGCCATACCCCATATACCCCATACCCCATATATCCCATACCCCATATACCCCATACCCCATACCCCATATATCCCATACCCCATACCCCATACCCCATATCCCATACCCCTATGTCCCATACCCCATACCCCATACATCCCATACCCCATATATCCCATACCCCATACCCCCATACCCCATATATCCCATACCCCATACCCATACCCCATATACCCCATACCCCATATACCCCATATATCCCATATACCCCATACCCCATATAGCCCATATATGCCATACCCCATATACCCCATACCCCATATAGCCCATACCCCATACCCATACCCCATATACCCCATACCCCATACCCCATATACCCCATACCCCATATACCCCATACACCCCATATACCCCATCCACCCCATACCCCATACCCCATATACCCCATACCCCACACCCCATATACCCCATATACCCCATACCCCATACACCCCATATACCCCATATACCCCATACCCCATATACCCCATACACCCCATATACCCCATACACCCCATATACCCCATACCCCATATACCCTATACACCCCATACCCCATATATTCCCTATATCCCATATATCCCATACCCCATACAGCCCATACCCCATACCCCATACAACCCATACACTCCATATACCCCATATACCCCATGCCCCATATATCCCATATACCCCATACCCCACACCCCATATACCCCATACACCCCATATACCCCATACCCCATACCCAATACCCCATACACCCCATACCCCATACACCCCATACCCCATACACCCCATACCCCATCCACCCCATGCACCCCATCCCCCATGCACCCCATATCCCACCCATCCCACCCCACCCCCTCCTCACCTCCTCTCCTCCCCCTGCTCCGGCGCTGCCGTGGTCAGGCACTCATCCATGTGCCCATGGAACAGCCTCAGCACGTGCCCCCCCGTCACGTACCCTATGGTCACCATGGGGGGGGTGGTCACGTGATGCCACCCCACCCCATAGCACCCATGGGTGCCCCCTTTCCCCCCCAGCACCCACCTTCCTCGGAGCCCGAGCTGATGGGGTTCATGTTCCATAGGGTCTGCATGAAGGAGGCGTCGACCTGGAGCTCCCCGCTGGCCGTGCTCAGGTGCTGACATGGGAGGGACACGCGTGTTACATGGGTGTCACGCGTGTTACATGGGGTGTCACGTGTGTTACGTGGGGTGTCACGTGTGTTACATGGGTGTCACGTGTGTTACATGGGGTGTCACGCGTGTTACATGTGTGTCACGTGTGTTACATGTGTGTCACGCGTGTTACATGGGTGTCACGTGTGTTACATGGGGTGTCACGTGTGTTACATGGGTGTCACGTGTGTTACATGGGGTGTCATACGTGTTACATGGGGTGTCACGTGTGTTACATGGGGTGTCACGCGTGTTACGTGGGGTGTCACGCGTGTTACATGGGGTGTCACGCGTGTTACATGGGGTGTCACGTGTGTTACATGGGTGTCACAGGTGTTACGTGGGGTGTCACGTGTGTTACATGGGGTGTCACGTGTGTTACATGGGAGTCATGCGTGTTACATGGGTGTCACGTGTGTTACATGGGGTGTCACGTGTGTTACGTGGGGTGTCACGTGTGTTACATGGGTGTCACGCGTGTTACATGGGGTGTCACGTGTGTTACATGGGAGTCATGCGTGTTACATGGGTGTCACGTGTGTTACATGGGGTGTCATGTGTGTTACATGGGGTGTCATGTGTGTTACATGGGTGTCACGTGTGTTACATGGGGTGTCACGCGTGTTACATGGGTGTCACGCGTGTTACATGGGGTGTCACGCGTGTTACGTGGGTGTCACGTGTGTTACATGGGTGTCACGCGTGTTACATGGGGTGTCACGCGTGTTACATGGGTGTCACGCGTGTTACGTGGGATGCCACATGTGATACATGAGCTGGCACACATGTATCCTGGCCTACACACACGCCTGTTCATTGCGTGTCCTTTACACACGTGACCTTTGCGCACACACGTGGTCTTGGCCTGCTCTTTGAGTGTTCCTCGCATGCTCTTTGAGTGGTCTTTACGTGCCCATTGCGTGCTCCTTGTGTGTTCATTGCATGTTCCTTGCATGTTCTTTGTGTGTTCCTTGCGTGTTCTTTGTGTGTTCCTTGCGTGTTCTTTGTGTGTTCCTTGTGTGTTCTTTGCGTGTTCCTTGTGTGTTGGTTGCATGTTCCTTGTGTGTTCCTTGCGTGTTCTTTGTGTGTTCGTTGCGTGTCCCTTGCGTGTTCTTTGCATGTTCCTTGCATGTCGGTTGCGTGTTCTTTGTGTGTTCCTTGCGTGTTCTTTGTGTGTGCCTTGCATGTTCTTTGTGTGTTCCTTGCATCTCCTTTGTGTGTTTGTTGCGTGTTCTTTGTGTGTTCTTTGTGTGTTCTTTGCGTGTTCTTTGTGTGTTCCTTGCATGTCTGTTGCGTGTTTGTTGCGTGTTCTTTGTGTGTTCCTTGCGTGTTCTTTGTGTGTACCTTGTGTGTTTGTTGCGTGTTCTTTATGTGTTCCTTGCGTGTTTTTTGTGTGTTCCTTGTGTGTTCTTTGCGTGTTCCTTGCGTGTTGTGTGTTCCTTGCATGTCCGTTGCGTGTTTGTTCTGTGTTCCCTGCGTGTTCTTTGTGTGTTCCTTGCGTGTTGTGCATTCCTTGCATGTTTGTTCCGTGTTCCTTGCGTGTTCCTTGCATGTCCGTTGCGTGTTGGTTGCGTGTTCTTCGCGTGTTGGTTGCGTGTTGGTTGCGTGTTGGTTGCGTGTTCTTCGCGTGCCGGTCGCGCACTCACCAGGTACCGCTCCGAGGAGACGCTCACCAGGATGAGGTCGTCCCCGACCCGAACCTTCTCCCCCTCCGAGCGCTGCTTGGACGCGGGGTGCATCGTCCACCAGCACGGCTCCCCTGCGCCACAACAGCCGAAGCTCCAAAACCACCCAAAACCACCCAAAACTCACCCAAAACCGACCAAAAATGACCCAAAACTGACCAAAACTGACCCAAAACAGCCCAAAACTGACCCAAAAATGACCCAAAACTGCCCAAAACCGACGCCAAACCACCCAAAACTGACCCAAAACTGCCCAAAACTGACCCAAAACAGCCCAAAACTGACCCAAAAATGACCCAAAACTGCCCAAAACCGACGCCAAACCACCCAAAACTGACCCAAAACTGCCCAAAACTGACCCAAAACAGCCCAAAACTGACCCAAAAATGACCCAAAACTGCCCAAAACCGACGCCAAACCACCCAAAACTGACCCAAAACTGCCCAAAACTGACCCAAAACAGCCCAAAACTGACCCAAAAATGACCCAAAACTGCCCAAAACCGACCCAAAACCACCCAAAACTGCCCAAAACTCATCCAAAACCGACCAAAAATGACCCAAAACCGACTCAAAACCACACAAAACTGCCCAAAACCGCCCAAAACTGACCCAAAACCGCCCAAAACTGACCCAAAACCGCCCGAAACCCACCAAAAACCGCCCAAAAATGAGCCCAAACCACCCAAAACTGTCCCAAAACCACCCAAAACTGCCTAAAACCGACCCAAAACCGAGTAAAAATGACCCAAAACCGACTCAAAAGTGCCAAAAACCGACCCAAAACTGACCAAAAATGACCCAAAACCATCCAAAACCGAACCAAACCCACCCAAAACTGCCCAAACCCGACCCAAAACCACCCAAAACTGCCCAAACCCGACCCCAAAACCACCCAAAACTGACCCAAAACTGACCCAAAACTACTCAAAACTGACCCAAAACTTCCCAAAACCGACCCCAAACCACCCAAAACTGCCCAAAATTGACCCAAAAACACCCAAAACTGACCCAAAGGTGCCAAAAAACAGTCAAAACTGACCCAAAACTGACCCAAAACCGACCCAAAACTGCCCAAAACCGCCCAAAACTGACCCAAAACTGCCAAAAAATGACCCCAAACCACCCAAAACTGACACAAAACTGCCTAAAAATGACCCAAAACCACCAAAAACTGACCCAAAAGTGCCCAAAAATGACCCCAAAACCACCCAAAACTGACCCAAAACTGCCAAAAAATGACCCAAAACCACCAAAAACTGACCCAAAACTGCCCAAAAATGACCCAAACCACCCAAAACTGACCCAAAACTGCCCAAAAATGACCCAAACCACCCAAAACTGACCCAAACCACCCAAAACCGACCCAAAAGTGCCCAGAAATGACCCAAAACCACCCAAAATTGACACAAAACTGCCCAAAACCGACTCAAAACTGCTCAAAACCAACCCAAACCGACCCAAAACTGCCCAAAACTGACCGAAAAATGCCCCGAAACGGACCCAAAACCGACCCAAAGAGACCCAAAAGTGCCCAAACAGACCCAAACCCGCCCAAAGAGACCCAAAACCACCTGAAATGGACCCAAAACCGCCTGAAATGGACCCAAAGTGCCCAAACAGACCCAAACCCGCCCAAACAGACCCAAAACCACCTGAAATGGACCCAAAACCGCCTGAACTGGACCCAAACCCGCCTGAACTGGACCCAAAGTGCCCAAACAGACCCAAAACCGCCCAAAGAGACCCAAAACCACCTGAACTGGACCCAAACCCGCCCAAAGAGACCCAAAACCACCTGAAATGGACACAAAACCGCCCAAAGAGACCCAAAAGTGCCCAAACAGACCCAAACCCGCCCAAAGAGACCCAAAACCACCTGAACTGGACCCAAAACCGCCCAAAGAGACCCAAAAGTGCCCAAACAGACCCAAACCCGCCCAAAGAGACCCAAAACCACCTGAAATGGACCCAAAACTGCCTGAAATCGACCCAAAAGTACCCAAAGACACCCAAACCCGCCTGAAATCGACCCAAAAGTGCCCAAACAGACCCAAACCCGCCCAAAGAGACCCAAAACCACCTGAAATGGACCCAAAAGTGCCCAAACAGACCCAAACCCGCCCAAAGAGACCCAAACCCGCCTGAAATCGACCCAAAAGTGCCCAAACAGACATAAAACCGCCCAAAGAGACCCAAACCCACCTGAAATCGACCCAAAAGTGCCCAAAGAGACCCAAAACCAAATGAACTGGACCCAAACCCGCCCAAAGAGACCCAAAACTGCCTGAAATGGACCCAAAACTGCCTGAAATGGACCCAAAAGTGCCCAAAGAGACCCAAAACCACCTGAACTGGACCCAAACCCGCCTGAACTGGCCCCAAAAGTGCCCAAACAGACCCAAAACCGCCTGAAATGGACCCAAACCCGCCCAAAGAGACCCAAAACTGCCTGAAATGGACCCAAACCCGCCTGAAATGGACCCAAAAGTGCCCAAAGAGACCCAAAACCACCTGAACTGGACCCAAACCCGCCTGAACTGGCCCCAAAAGTGCCCAAACAGACCCAAAACCGCCTGAAATCGACCCAAAACCGCCCAAAGAGACCCAAACCCACCTGAAATGGACCCAAAAGTGCCCAAAGAGACCCAAAACCACCCAAAGAGACCCAAACCCGCCCAAAGAGACCCAAAACCACCTGAACTGGACCCAAACCCGCCTGAAATCGACCCAAAACCACCCATGGAGACACAAACCCACCTGAAATGGACCCAAAACCGCCCAAAGAGACCCAAAACCACCCAAACAGACCCAAACCCGCCTGAACTGGACCCAAACCCGCCTGAACTGGACCCAAACCCGCCTGAAATCGACCCAAAACCACCCATGGAGACACAAATCCACCTGAAATGGACCCAAAACCGCCTGAAATGGACCCAAAAGTGCCCAAAGAGACCCAAAACCACCTGAAATGGACCCAAAACCGCCTGAACTGGACCCAAACCCGCCTGAACCGGCCCCAAACCCCCCTGAACCGGCCCCAAGCGCCGGCAGCGCCGCTCACCGGCCGCGTCCTCCTGCAGCCCCACGTCGAAGGCGAGTTTGTCGGTGACGGAGCGCGACGTGGTCAAACAGCTCAGGTACTGCGGGGGAGGCACCCATGGGAGCCCCCAGGGACACCCAGTGGCACCCAGTGGCACCCAGTGGCACCCGTTGACACCCACTGACATCCATTGACATCCATTGACATCCAGTGACACCCATTGGCACCCGTTGACACCCACTGACATCCATTGACATCCATTGACATCCAGTGATACCCATTGACACCCGTCGACACCCATTGACACCCATTGACCCCCATTGACATCCATTGACACCCGTTGACACCCGTTGACATCCATTGACACCCATAGACACCCATTGACACGCATCGACACCCATCGACACCCATTGACATCCATTGACACCCACTGACACCCATTGACACCCATTGACATCCATTGACACCCGTTGACACCCGTTGACATCCATTGACACCCATAGACACCCATTGACACCCACCGACACCCATTGATACCCATTGACACCCATTGACACCCGTTGACACCCATTGATACCCATTGACACCCATTGACACCCGTTGACACCCGTTGACACCCATTGACACCCATTGACACCCGTTGACATCCGTTGACACCCATTGACACCCAGTGACACCCAGTGACACCCGTTGACACCCATCGACACCCATTGACGCCCATGGGCGCCCACTGACATCCATCGACACCCATTGACCCCAGTTGACACCCATTGACATCCATTGACATCCATTGACACCCATTGACACCCATTGACACCCATTGACACCCATTGACACCCATTGACATCCATTGACATCCATTGACATCCATTGACCCCCACTGGCACCCATTGACATTCCTCAACACCCATCGACCCCCATTGACCCCCATCGACATCCATCAACACCCATTGATCCCCACTGACCCCCATCGACCCCCATTGACCCCCATTGACATCCATCGACCCCCATTGACCCCCATCGACCCCCATTGACATCCATTGACACCCGTTGACATTCCTCAACACCCATTGACCCCCATTGACCCCCATCGACCCCCATTGACCCCCATCGACATCCATCGACCCCCATTGACCCCCATCGACCCCCATTGACATCCATTGACACCCATCGACCCCCATTGACATCTGTTCACACCCATTGACATCCGTTCACACCCATTGACATCCATTCACACCCGTTGACCCACATTGACAAGCACTGACACCCACTGATACCCATTGATGCCCATTCACCCCAGTTGACCCCCACTGCCCCCCATACCCCATTACCCCCCATACCCCCCATACCCCATTGCCCCCCATTGCCCCCCATACTCCATTGCCCCGCATACTCCATTGCCCCCCATTGCCCCAATACCCCCCATACCCCATTGCCCCCATTGCCCCCCATACCCCATTGCCCCCATACCCCATTGCCCCCATACCCCATTACCCCCATACCCCATTGCCCCCCATTGCCCCCAATACCCCATTGCCCCCCATAGCCCCCCATACCCCATTGCCCCCCATTGCCCCCCATAGCCCCCCATACCCCATTGCCCCCCATACCCCATTGACCCCAATACCCCCCATACACCATTGACCCCCATTGCCCCCATACCCCCCATACCCCATTGCCCCCAATACCCCCCATACCCCATTGCTCCCCATTGCCCCCCATACCCCATTACCCCCCATACCCCCCATACCCCATTGCCCCCCATACCCCATTGTCCCCCATACCCCATTGCCCCCCATACCCCCCATAGCCCCCCCATTGCCCCCCATTGCCCCCCATAGCCCCCCATACCCCATTGCCCCCCATTGCCCCCCATACCCCATTGCCCCCCATTGCCCCCCATTGCCCCCCATTCCCCCCATCCCCCCCATTGCCCCCCATTGCCCCCCATTCCCCCATCCCCCAATCCCCCCCATCGCCCCCCATTGCCCCCCCATCGCCCCCCATCGCCCCCCATCACCCCCCATTGCCCCCCATACCCCATTGCCCCCCCATTGCCCCCCATTGCCCCCATACCCCATTACCCCCCATACCCCATTGCCCCCCATTGCCCCCCATACCCCATTGCCCCCCATTGTCCCCCATACCCCATCGCCCCCCATTGCCCCCCATACCCCATTGCCCCCCATACCCCCCCATACCCCATCGCCCCCCATCACCCCCCATAGCCCCCCATCACCCCCCATAGCCCCCCATACCCCATTGCCCCCCATTGCCCCCCATACCCCATTGCCCCCCATAGCCCCCCATCACCCCCCATAGCCCCCCATACCCCATCGCCCCCCATCACCCCCCATAGCCCCCCATACCATGCCGCTGTGCGAGTGCCGCAGCAGGATGGCGTGCCCATAGAGCAGCGTGCGGTGCCCCCCACCCTGCGAAGACTTGGGGGGCAGAGGGGGGGGGGGGAGGAACACATGGGGGTCAGGGGGGGGACCCCAACACCCCCCCCCCTTGTTGTGGGGGGGGGGGACGGGGACCCCCTCGTATTGGGGCACCCCTTGTGCCCCCCTCTTATGGAAGCCCTGGTGGGTTGGGGGGCCATGCGGAGAGGTTGGGGTCACACGAGGACGCTATGGGGCAGGGAAGGGGGGGGATCCAATGGGATGGGAGGGGATCCAATAGGATAAGAGGGGATCCAATGGGGCAGCATCCAATGGGATGATGGGATGGGATCCAATGGGGCGGCATCCAATGGGATGATGGGATGGGATCCAATGGGGCGGCATCCAATGGGATGATGGGATGGGATCCAATGGGGAGGCATCCAATGGGATGATGGGATGGGATGGCATCCAATGGGATGATGGGATGGGATGAAGGGGGGGGGCACAGCACCACAGTGGCACCTACCCACTTATCCAGGTCGAGCCCCTGGTGGGGGGCAATGGGGGGGGGCAATGGGGCAGGGGGGGGTGGAGAGAAAAAGGGGGTCAAAGGGGGCTTGGAAGCCCTCAAACCCCTCCTTAACGACCCCTCTGCCCCATAGAAACCTCCCCCCGTGCCCCATAGAGCATCGGTTACCCCATGGACCACTCTTTACCCCATAGAGCATCCTTCACCCCATAGAGCATCGCTGACCCCATAGAGCATCGGTTACCCCATGGACCACTCTTTACCCCATAGAGCATCCTTCACCCCATAGAGCATCACTGACCCCATAGAGCATCAGTTACCCCATGGACCACTCTTTACCCCATAGAGCATCCTTCACCCCATAGAGCATCGCTGACCCCATAGAGCATCAGTTACCCCATGGACCACTCTTTACCCCATAGAGCATCCTTCACCCCATAGAGCATCGCTGACCCCATAGAGCATCGGTTACCCCATGGACCACTCTTTACCCCAAAGAGCATCCTTCACCCCATAGAGCATTGCTGACCCCATAGAGCATCGGTTACCCCATGGACCACTCTTTACCCCATAGAGCATCCTTCACCCCATAGGGCATCGTTGACCCCATAGAGCATCCCTGAGGCCATAGGGTATCCCTGACCCCATAGAGCATCCCTGACCCTATAGAGCATCCCTGACTCTATAGAGCATCCTGACCCTATAGAGCATACTGACCCCATAGGGTATCCCTGACCCCATAGAGCATCCTGACCCTATAGAGCATCCTCCACCCCGTAGAGCATCCCTAAACCTATAGAGCATTCCTGACCCCATAGGGCATCCTTGACACTATAGAGCATCACTGACCCTATAGAACATCCCTGACCCCATAGAGCATCCCTGACCCCATAGAGCATCCCTGACCCTATAGAGCATTCCTGACCCCATAGAGCATCCCTGACCCTATAGAGCATCCCTGACTCTATAGAGCATCCTGACCTATAGAGCATCCTCCACCCCATAGAGCATCCCTAACCCTATAGAGCATCCTCCACCCCATAGAGCATCCCTGACCCTATAGAGCATCCCTGATGCCATAGAGCATCCTCCACCCCATAGAGCATCCCTGACCCCATAGAGCATCCCTGACCTTATAGAGCATCCCTGACCCCATAGAGCATCCCTGACTCTATAGAGCATCCTCCACCCCATAGAGCATCCTGACCCTATAGAGCATCCCTGACCCCATAGAGCATCCCTGACCCTATAGAGCATTCCTGACCCCATAGAGCATCCCTGACCCTATAGAGCATCCCTGACTCTATAGAGCATCCTGACCTATAGAGCATCCTCCACCCCATAGAGCATCCCTAACCCTATAGAGCATCCTCCACCCCATAGAGCATCCCTGACCCCATAGAGCATCCCTGACCTTATAGAGCATCCCTGACCCCATAGAGCATCCCTGACTCTATAGAGCATCCTCCACCCCATAGAGCATCCTGACCCTATAGAGCATCCCTGACCCCATAGAGCATCCCTGACCCTATAGAGCATTCCTGACCCTATAGAGCATTCCTGACCCCATAGAGCATCCCTGACTCTATAGAGTATCCTCCACCCCATAGAGCATCCCTGACTCTATAGAGCATCCTCCACCCCATAGAGCATCCCTGACCCCATCGACCCTTCTCTACCCCATAGAGCCCTGCCCCATAGACCCCCCCCCGCCCCATATCCCCCCCCCCCCTGCCCCATAGCGCCCCCCTGCCCCACCTCGGCTCCGGGCTGGGCGCTCGTTGCCAGCATCTCCTGCAGGGCCCGCACCGACAGCGACTGCTCCAGCACGAAGCAGCAGATGGCCAGGTCCGGGGGCACGGCCTGGGGGGCACGGCCCCATAGATAACAATGGGGGCCCCATAGATAACAATGGGGGCCCCATAGATAACAACGGGGTCCCCTTGTACCCATAGATAACAATGGGGGCCCCATAGATAACAACGGGGTCCCCTTGTACCCATAGATAACAATGGGGGCCCCATAGATAACAACGGGGTCCCCTTGTACCCATAGATAACAATGGGGGCCCCATAGATAACAACGGGGTCCCCTTGTACCCATAGATAACAATGGGGGCCCCATAGATAACAATGGGGGCCCCATAGATAACAATGGGGGCCCCTTGTACCCATAGATAACAATGGGGGCCCCATAGATAACAATGGGGGCCTCTTGTACCCATAGATAACAATGGGGGCCCCATAGATAACAATGGGGGCCCCTGGTACCCATAGATAACAATGGGGGCCCCATAGATAACAATGGGGGCCTCTTGTACCCATAGATAACAATGGGGGCCCCATAGATAACAATGGGGGCCCCTTGTACCCATAGGTAACAATGGGGGCCCCATAGATAACAATGGGGGCCCCATAGATAACAATGGGAGCCCATTGATAACAATGGGGGCCCCATAGATAACAATGGGGGCCCCTTGTACCCATCGTTAAAACTGGGGGCCCCATAGAGAACAATGGGGGCCCCTTGTACCCATAGATAACAATGGGAGCCCCATAGATAACAATGGGGGCCCCATAGATAACAATGGGGGCCCCTTGTACCCATAGATAACAATGGAGGCCCCATAGATAACAATGGGGGCCCCTTGTACCCATAGGTAACAATGGGGGCCCCATAGATAACAATGGGGGCCCCATAGATAACAATGGGGGCCCCTTGTACCCATAGATAACAATGGGGGCCCCATAGATAACAATGGGGGCCCCTTGTACCCATAGATAACAATGGGGGCCCCATAGATAACAATGGGGGCCCCTTGTACCCATAGATAACAATGGGGGCCCCATAGATAACAATGGGGGCCCCTTGTACCCATAGATAACAATGGGAGCCCCATAGATAACAATGGGGGCCCCATAGATAACAATGGGGGCCCCTTGTACCCATAGATAACAATGGGGGCCCCATAGATAACAATGGGGGCCCCTTGTACCCATAGATAACAATGGGGGCCCCATAGATAACAATGGGGGCCCCTTGTACCCATAGATAACAATGGGGGCCCCATAGATAACAATGGGGGCCCCTTGTACCCATAGATAACAATGGGAGCCCCATAGATAACAATGGGGGCCCCATAGATAACAATGGGGGCCCCTTGTACCCATAGATAACAATGGGGGCCCCATAGATAACAATGGGGGCCCCTTGTACCCATAGATAACAATGGGGGCCCCATAGATAACAATGGGGGCCCCTTGTACCCATAGATAACAATGGGGGCCCCATAGATAACAATGGGGGCCCCGTGTACCCATAGATAACAATGGGGGCCCCTTGTACCCATAGATAACAATGGGGGCCCCATAGATAACAATGGGAGCCCCATAGATAACAATGGGGTCCCCTTGTACCCATAGATAACAATGGGGGCCCCATAGATAACAATGGGGTCCCCTTGTACCCATAGATAACAATGGGGGCCCCATAGATAACAATGGGGGGCCCATAGGGGGCAATGGGGTCCCCTTGTACCCATAGATAACAATGGGGGCCCCATAGGGGGCAACGGGGGCCCCTTGTACCCATAGATAACAATGGGATCCCCTTGTACCCATAGATAACAATGGGGGCCCCATAGATAACAATGGGGCCCCATAGATAACAATGGGGGCCCCATAGATAACAATGGGGGGCCCTTGTACCCATAGATAACAATGGGGGCCCCTTGTACCCATAGATAACAATAGGGGCCCCATAGATAACAACGGGGGCCCCTTGTACCCATAGATAACAATGGGGACCCCATAGATAACAATGGGGGCCCCTTGTACCCATAGATAACAATGGGGGCCCCATAGATAACAATGGGGGCCCCTTGTACCCATAGATAACAATGGGGGCGCCATAGATAACAATGGAGGCCCCATAGATAACAATGGGGGCCCCATAGGTAACAATGGGGGGCCCATAGGGGGCAACGGGGGCCCCTTGTACCCATAGATAACAATGGGGGCCCCATAGATAACAATGGGGGGCCCATAGGGGGCAACGGGGGCCCCTTGTACCCATAGATAACAATGGGGGCCCCATAGATAACAATGGGGGGCCCATAGGGGGCAACGGGGGCCCCTTGTACCCATAGATAACAATGGGGACCCCATAGATAACAATGGGGGCCCCTTGTACCCATAGATAACAATGGGGGCCCCATAGATAACAATGGGGGCCCCTTGTACCCATAGATAACAATGGGGGCCCCATAGATAACAAAGGGGGCCTCTTGTACCCATAGATAACAATGGGGGCCCCATAGATAACAATGGGGGGCCCTTGTACCCATAGATAACAATGGGGGCCCCATAGATAACAAAGGGGGCCTCTTGTACCCATAGATAACAATGGGGGCCCCATAGATAACAATGGGGGGCCCTTGTACCCATAGATAACAACGGGGTCCCCTTGTACCCATAGATAAGAACGGGGACCCCATAGATAACAATGGGGGGCCCATAGGGGGCAACGGGGGCCCCTTGTACCCATAGATAACAATGGGGTCTCCATCCCCCCATAGATAACAATGGGACCCCCATATCCTCCCCATAGACATCAATGGGACCCCCATACACATCAATGTGACCCCCATATCCCCCCATAGACATCAATGGGTCCCCCATACACATCACTGTGACCCCCATATCCCCCCATAGACATCAATGGGACCCCCATAGACATCAATGGGACCCCCATATCCCCCCATAGACATCAATGGGACCCCCATATCCCCCCATAGACATCAATGGGACCCCCGTATCCCCCATAGACAACAATAGGACCCCCATATCCCCCCATAGACATCAATGGGACCCCCATACACATCAACGGGACCCCCATATCCCCCCATAGACATCAATGGGACCCCCATATCCTCCCCATAGACATCAATGGGTCCCCCATACACATCACTGTGACCCCCATATCCCCCCATAGACATCAATGGAACCCCCATAGACATCAATGGAACCCATAGACATCAATGGAACCCCCATATCCCCCCATAGACATCAATGGAACCCCCGTATCCCCCATAGACAACAATAGGACCCCCATATCCCCCCATAGACATCAATGGGACCCCCATACACATCACTGTGACCCCCATATCCCCCCATAGACATCAATGGGACCCCCATACACATCAACGGGACCCCCATATCCCCCCATAGACATCACTGTGACCCCCATATCCCCCCATAGACATCAATGGGACCCCCATAGACATCAACGGGACCCCCATAGACATGACTGTGACCCCCATATCCCCCCACAGACATCAATGGGACCCCCATATCCCCCCATAGACATCAATGGGACCCCCATAGACATCAATGTGACCCCCATAGGCCCCAATGTGACCCCCATATCCCGCAATGAGACCCCCATTCCCCCCCATAGGCCCCAATGGACCCCCCCCCGATCCCCCCCGCCCCATAGGCAGCAATGGTCGGGTCCAACCTGCGCGTTGGAGGTGGGCTCCAGGCCGCACAATCGATTGCCGAAGCCCTCGGCCGCCAGGCAGAGCTTGAGCTGCTGATTGCGGAGCGAGGCCGAGCACTGCAGGACCACCTCGTCCTCCTGGGGGGGGATATAGGGAGCTATGGGGCGGGGATATAGGGAGCTATGGGGTGGGGATATAGGGGGTGTGGGGCGGGGATATAGGGAGCTATGGGGCGGGGATATAGGGAGCTATGGGGCGGGGATATAGGGAGCTATGGGGCGGGGATATAGGGGGTGTGGGGCGGGGATATAGGGAGCTATGGGGCGGGGATAGAGTGGGTGTGGGGCGGGGATATAGGGAGCTATGGGGCGGGGATATAGGGGGTGTGGGGCGGGGATATAGGGAGCTATGGGGCGGGGATATAGGGAGCTATGGGGCGGGGATATAGGGGGTGTGGGGCGGGGATATAGGGAGGTGTGGGGCGGGGATATAGGGAGCTATGGGGCGGGGATATAGGGAGCTATGGGGCGGGGATATAGGGAGCTATGGGGCGGGGATATAGGGGGTGTGGGGCGGGGATATAGGGAGCTATGGGGCGGGGATATAGGGGGCTATGGGGCGGGGATATAGGGAGCTATGGGGCGGGGATATAGGGAGCTATGGGGCGGGGATATAGGGGGTGTGGGGCGGGGATATAGGGGGTGTGGGGCGGGGATATAGGGAGCTATGGGGCGGGGATATAGGGAGCTATGGGGCGGGGATATAGGGAGCTATGGGGCGGGGACATAGGGGGTGTGGGGCGGGGATATAGGGAGCTATGGGGCGGGGATATAGGGAGCTATGGGGCGGGGATATAGACTGGGGTGTGGGTCGCGGATATCTGTCGTGTGGGGCGGGGATATAGGGGGTGTGGGGCGGGGATATAGGGAGCTATGGGGCGGGGATATAGCGGGGTAGGGAGTGGGGCGGGGAGATAGGGGGTGTGGGGCGGAGATATAGGGGGTGTGGGGCGAGGATATAGGGAGCTATGGGGCGGGGATATACGGAGCTATGGGGCGGGAATATAGGGAGCTATGGGGCGGAGATATAGGGGGTGTGGGGCGAGGATATAGGGAGCTATGGGGCGGGGATATAGGGAGCTATGGGGCGGGGATATAGGGGGTGTGGGGCGGGGATATAGGGAGCTATGGGGCGGGGATATAGGGAGCTATGGGGCGGGGATATAGGGAGCTGATGGGGCGGGGATATAGGGGGTGTGGGGCGGGGATATAGGGGGTGTGGGGCGGGGATATAGGGAGCTATGGGGCGGGGATATAGGGAGCTATGGGGCGGGGATATAGGGGGTGTGGGGCGGGGATATAGGGAGCTATGGGGCGGGGATATAGGGAGCTATGGGGCGGGGATATAGGGGGTGTGGGGCTGGGATATAGGGAGGTGTGGGGCGGGGATATAGGGAGCTATGGGGCGAGGATATAGGGGGTGTGGGGCGGAGATATAGGGGGTGTGGGGAGGGGATATAGGGGGCTATGGGGAGGAGCTATAGGGGCTATGGGGCAGAGCCATAGAGAGCTATGGGGTGGACCCATAGAGAGCAATGGGGCAGAGCCATAGTGAGCTATGGGGCGGACCCATAGGGGGCAATGGGGCAGACACATAGCGGGCAATGGGGCAGAGCCATAGAGAGGTATGGGGCGGACCCATAGAGAGCTATGGGGCGGACCCATAGGGGGCAATGGGGCAGAGCCATAGAGAGCTATGGGGCAGACCCATAGGGGGCAATGGGGCAGACACATAGCGGGCAATGGGGCAGAGCCATAGAGAGCTATGGGGCGGACCCATAGGGGGCAATAGGGATCCATAGGGGCAATGGGGCAGACACATAGGGGGCAATGGGGCGTAGCCATAGCAGGCAATGGGGCAGACACATAGGGGGCGATGGGGCAGACCCATAGAGAGCAATGGGGCAGACATATCGGGGGCAATGGGGGAGACCCATAGGGAGCAATGGGGACCCATGGAGAGCAATCGGGACACATAGGGGACAATGGGGACCCATAGCGAGCAACGGGGCAGACCCATAGAGAGCAGTGGGTACACATAGGGGGCAATGGGGCAGACCCATAGGGGGCAATGGGACATATGGGGGCAACGGGGCAGACCCATACAGAGAAATGGGACAGACCCCTAGCAGGCAATGGGGCAGACCCATAGAGAGCAATGGGGCAGACCCATAGAGAGCTATGGGGACACATAGGGGGCAATAGGGCAGACCCATAGGGGGCAATGGGGCAGACCCATAGAGAGCTATGGGGACACATAGGGGGCAATGGGGCAGACCCATAGGGGGCAATGGGGACACATAGGGGGCAATGGGGCAGACCCATAGCGGGCAATGGGGACACATAGGGAGCAATGGGGCAGACCCATAGCGGGCAATGGGGCAGACACATATGGGGCAATGGGGCAGACTCATAGAGAGAAATGGGGCAGACCCATAGAGAGCAATGAGGACCCATAGGGGGCAATGGGGCAGACCCATAGGGTGCAATGGGGCAGACCCATAGGGGGCAATGGGGCAGACCCATAGAGAGCTATGGGGACACATAGGGGGCAATGGGGCAGACCCATAGGGTGCAATGGGGACACATAGGGGACAATGGAGCCCCCATAGAGGGCAATAGGGACACATAGGGGGCAATGGGGCAGACCCATAGAGAGCAACGGGGCAGACACATAGGGAGCAATAGGGCAGACCCATAGAGAGCAACGGGGCAGACACATAGGGGGCAATAGGGCAGACCCATAGGGGGCAATGGGGCAGACCCATAGAGAGCTATGGGGACCCATAGAGAGCAATGGGGCAGACCCATAGAGAGATATGGGGACACATAGGGGGCAATGGGGCAGACCCATAGTGGGCAATGGGGACTCATAGGGGGCAATGGGGCAGACCCACAGCAGGCAATAGGGACACATAGGGGGCAATGGGACAGACCCATAGCGGGCAATGGGGACCCATAGGGTGCAATGGGGCAGACCCATAGGGGGCAATGGGGACATATAGGGGGCAATGGGGCAGCACGGGGGCAATGGGGGACCCATATAGGGGGCAATGGGGCAGACCCATACACATGGGGGCAATGGGGGCAAGGGGGGGGGGGCATAATGGGGGCAATGGGGGACCCCATAGGGGGCAATGGGGCAGACACATAGGGGGCAATGGGGCAGACCCATAGGGGGCAATGGGGACCCATAGGGGGCAATGGGGCAGACACATAGGGGGCAATAGGGCAGACCCATAGGGGCCAATGGGGACACATAGGGAGCAATGGGGCAGACCCACAGCAGGCAATAGGGACACATAGGGGACAATGGAGCCCCCATAGAGGCCAATAGGGACACATAGGGGGCAATGGGGCAGACCCATAGGGTGCAATGGGGCAGACCCATAGGGGGCAATGGGGCAGACCCATAGAGAGCTATGGGGACACATAGGGGGCAATGGGGCAGACCCCTAGCGAGCAATTGGGACCCATAGGGGGCGATGGGACAGACCCATAGTGGGCAATGGGGACACATAGGGGGCAATGGGGCAGACCCATAGGGTGCAATGGGGCACACCCATAGGGGGCAATGGGGCAGACCCATAGAGAGCTATGGGGACACATAGGGGGCAATGGGGCAGACCCATAGAGGGCAATGGGGACACATAGGGAGCAATGGGGCAGACCCACAGCAGGCAATAGGGACACATAGGGGACAATGGGGACCCCATAGAGGGCAATAGGGACACATAGGGGGCAATGGGGCAGACCCATAGAGAGCAATGGGGCAGACCCATAGAGAGCAACGGGGCAGACACATAGGGGGCAATAGGGTAGACCCATAGGGGGCAATGGGGCAGACCCATAGAGAGCTATGGGGACACATAGGGGGCAATGGGGCAGACCCATAGAGAGCAATGGGGCAGACCCATAGGGTGCAATGGGGCCCATAGGGGGCAATGGGGACACAAAGGGGACAATGGAGCCCCCATAGAGGGCAATGCCACGCCCCCCCCCCCCGCTATGGGGCAGGTGCCCCCCATGGCTCCCTATGGGGTGGGGGATGGGGTGACCTCCCTGTGTCCCCTCCCCCCCCCCACCTGTTCCCATCGCTCCGAACCCCTCCCCCCGCGGGGGGGGGGGGGGGGGGCAGAATCCGGGATGCCAATGGGGGGGGCGGGGCCAAAAGGGGGGGGGGGGGGGGGGCTTCGGGGGGGGGAGGGGCTTCGAACCTCCGTTTCCCCTTTGGGCAATGGGGGGGGGAGGGGATTCAACCCCCTCCCCCTCCCCCCCCCAAAGCGCTGAGCTCAACAGTTCCCACGCCCCTCCCCCCACCCCCCCCATCCCCCCATCCCCTCCCCCCCCCCATTTTAAGGCCAAACTGGGCCAAGGGAAGGATCTGGGGCACCCCCTCCCCCCTCCCTTCCCCCCCCCCCCTGGGGGGGGCGGATTTGGTTTCGCCCCCCCCCCCTCAGCAGCTGCTCCCCTCCCCCCCCCCCCCCCCCGGGGCTTTACACGTTGCTTTTTTGGGAGCCCACGTGACCCCCAGGGGACAGGTGGGGGGGGGGGGCCGGCACTACCCCCCCCCCCTCCAGTGCCCCCATTGCCACCCATTGACCCCCATTGACTCCCATTGACCCCCATTGACTCCCATTGCCCCCCATTGACTCCCATTGCCCCCCATTGCCCCCCATTGACTCCCATTGACCCCCATTGCCCCCCATTGACCCCATTGACCCCCATTGACTCCCATTGCCCCCCATTGCCCCCCATTGCCCCCCATTGACCCCCATTGACCCCATTGCCCCCCATTGCCCCCCATTGACTCCCATTGACTCCCACTGACCCCCATTGACTCCCATTGCCCCCCATTGCCTCCCATTGCCCCCCATTGACTCCCATTGCCCCCCATTGACCCCCAGGATCCCCATTTCCACCTCCCACTGTTCCCAGTTATCCCCCAGTCCCCTTGGTCCTGCTCTCCCAGTAGCCCCCAGTAGCCCCCAGTAGCCCCCATTCCCCTTCTCCTCCAGTCCCATCCCAGTCCATCCCAGTGCCCCCAGTCCCAGTCCATCCCAGTGCCTCCATTCCCCCATCCCAGTCCATCCCAGTCCATCCCAGTGCTCCCAGTGCCCCCATTCCCAGTCCCAGTCCATCCCACTTCCTTCCAAGTCCATCCCAGCACTCCCAGTCCATTCCCAGTGCTCCCAGTGCCCCCATTCCCCCTTCCCAGTCCCTCCCAGTGCCCCCATTCCCCATTCCCAGTCCATCCCAGTCTCTCCCAGTGCCCCTATTCACTCATTCCCAGTCCATCCCAGTGCCTCCATTCCCCATCCCAGTCGCTCCCAGTCCCTCCCAGTCCATCCCAGTGCCCCCATTCCCCATCCCAGTCCCATCCCAGTCTCTCCCAGTGCTCCCAGTGCTCCCATTCCCCCTTCCCAGTCTCTCCCAGTGCCCCCCCTCCCCATCCCAGTCCCTCCCAGTCCATCCCAGTGCCTCCATTCCCCCATCCCAGTCTCTCCCAGTCCATCCCAGTGCTCCCAGTGCCCCCATTCCCTCATTCCCAGTCCTTCCCAGTCCCTCCCAGTGCTCCCAGTCCCTCCCAGTGCTCCCAGTGCTCCCATTCCCCATCCCAGTCCCTTCCCAGTGCCTCCATTCCCTCATTCCCAGTTCATCCCAGTCCCTCCCAGTGCTCCCAGTCCATTCCAGTGCCCCCATTCCCTCATTCCCAGTCCCTTCCCAGTCTCTCCCAGTCTCTCCCAGTCTCTCCCAGTCCCTCCCAGTGCTCCCATTCCCCGTTCCCAGTCCATCCCAGTGCTCCCAGTCCATTCCAGTGCCCCCACTCCCCATCCCAGTCCCTTCCCAGTCCCTCCCAGTGCCTCCATTCCCCCATCCCAGTCCCTCCCAGTCTCTCCCAGTGCTCCCATTCCCCGTTCCCAGTTCATCCCAGTCCATTCCAGTGCCCCCATTCCCCATCCCAGTCTCTCCCAGTCCCATCCCAGTCTCTCCCAGTGCTCCCAGTGCCCCCATTCCCTCATTCCCAGTCCCTCCCAGTGCTCCCAGTCCCCACTCACGGTCCGCAGGAACTGGACATCGTCCTCGCCGTCAGCCTCAGCCATGGCCGCGGGGGGGGGGGGGGGGGCCGGTCCCGGTGTTACCGGTAACGG